CGCCGGATGCAATCATCAAGTTCATAAACAGATGTTGACTACACATAAAAAATAGAGTCATTCATCAAGTTCACAAACACTACCGTAGGAATGCCTAGCAGTGGCGGGTGGGAAAAGCCTAGCAGTGGCAGGCAAGGCTCAGGGGCGCCTGCCACTGACCTCCCGCCACTACTATAATGGCATCAGTGGCGGGCGGCGCCGGCCACTGGTAGAATCTCTGCAGTGGTGGGAACGCCTCGCCACCCGCCAGTGGAGCATATTGTAGTTGTGGTGGCAGGATATAGCGCTCAGCACTGATATAGATTTTTGTTCCCATGAATTTACTGTGCTCGAATTTGTACACATGATTTACAAAGAGTAAACAGACAAAAGTATATAATATATAACATTGGTTGAACGAGGCTTAATCAATTATATGAACAAATGACAAAGCTTCACATTTGTTCCACTTAATACACTATCATCACACTACGACATCCATCATGATCTTCCAAATGTTCATATATGTCACTTATTTCTAAATGAGGTCAACGACAACCATCATCTGCCACTTGTTGTGGCGGCTCTTCCTTAGCGTGATTGCCACTGGTGTCTCAACCATTAGTCTCTTTCTCGTTAGAAACTCCCCCCCCCCCCAGCCGGCCTCATGGAAGGATCGTGCGTCCGTCTGTTTCGGTCTTGTACTTGATGGTGGGGACAACCCCTGCTCCAAGGCTTACTACAGCAAAACCGACTGCAGGGATGTTCAGGCCGAAAACCATCCTTGCGGGTAATTTCTATGATCATCGTGATTAGAAGCACAAACATCACACAATGTTAGACATCTCGCAATGTTAGTGTTACATAAAAAAGAGTGTAAAAAATACAGAACAAACCATGACATGTTTGACGATGTTTGTCTTGGTTAAATGGTGCACAAGGGGCACCCCCATGTAGTTCTCAATTGGTGGTAGGATCATCAAGAGATTGTTCCTCTCATTATGCGTAAGCTTCTTCATTCTTTGAGAAAATATTGGAGAATTGAATGGAACATCATCGTAATCATCCTGACTATCCTCGTCTTCTTGGTCATCGTCATGGATAACCTCATCATCATGACTATCTTCATCTTCTTGGCTGTCATCCTCATCGTCACGGATATCCTAATCATCATGACTATCGTCATCATCCACATCATCATGACTATCCTCATCATCGTCACCATCCTCACTATCCTCATCATCCTCATCATCTTCACCATACTCATCATCTTGGCTGCAAAAATAGATAATCATTAACCTCTTGACCCACACTTCTAAGTAAAATGCTATGAACTCCCCCCCCCCCCATTCAGCTCATTTTTTGAAATGAACTTCATCCATCCATCACAATAGCTGATGGTTTTATGCTTTCCTTTCTTCACTTCAGCTTGAAATGACCGCCCCTTATCATCCTTCAAGAGCAAAGTATAACCTATTGCATTATTAAGTTTCACTCGTACGTTGCTTGGGATACACTATGCAACAGTAAAGTAAAATATGAACCAAATTAGTGGTAAATGACATTAAATGACTGCAAAATGATTATAATGGTATGCTGAAGTTAAAGACCGTTACCACCGATTTTTTCAATCCCTCATTCAAAAAGACCCCGAATTCCTTTGCAGTTGCCAAGCTGTTCGCACAACTACTTTTGCAGATTTGGCACATTGGAAGCACCATGATCCATAATAATCATATGATACACTATGTAATCGTAGCCCTAGCGGCGCTGGCGAGCCAGCTCCCTACCTGTAGCACTAGCGGCAGCGGCGGTGCCCTAACGATGACCCTAGTGGCAAGAAGGAGAGTGAGGGAGAGTGGGGCATTGTGGCGGGCGAGGCGTGGACGGGCTCGACGATGGGAAGAGACGACGGCGGGAGAAGACGCATCGCGCGGGACGAAGGGGGCGAACGCCGGAGAAGGGGGTAGAATAGCAGCCAATTTGACTTAGTGTGGCCGTATTAGAGAATTTTGTGTGTGGGTAATACGTGTGGCGGGCGGCTATCGCCCACCGTAGAAAAAATTTAGAATTGAGTTGCCAAAAGATACTTGTGGTCGGCGACATGATATGCCCGACACAGCTATCTGTCGGAATAGTGGTGGGCACGTCGTGCTGCCTGCTACAAGCGCTTTCCACCAAGTGGGGGTACAGGGAAATGCCTGTCACTGCTGCCACTTTAGTAGTGGTGGGCCCATTTAGTTACCCACTTGTGTTCTTTCTCCTAGGTAGCAGTGGCGGGTCCAAGGTCACGCCCGCCACACATTTGGGTTCACTTATAAGCCCTTTCTCAGTAGTGAAACGTTGCATCATCATTCATAATTCTAAACATTGCATACGATCGAAGTGTGATTAAAAAAATAAACCTTTCCGGCATAGGATTGAAATCATAGCCGTTGTTGTACTTGCGAATCTCAAAGAACATGCCGTCATGGTAAGTGAAGAGGTTACGGTGCCCATCGCCGGAGGCGGCTAGTGCCCATGGCCGGAGGTGGTGCGGCGACAGTCTTCTTCAGCTTCTTCACCCCCGACTTCTCTTGCCGGTGGAGCGGGCCGTGGCAGCATGACACCTTCTCCCTCTGCGGCGGTGGGAGCCTGGCTTGACGAGGACATGAGTCGCATGCATCGGTGTGCGACCGTGGTGGTAGATGGTGCAATAGCGTGGACGCGTGATGTGGTGGATGGTAGTGGTGGCGGCTTCTGATCGTGGGCCCATGGTGCGGCGGTCAGCAGCGGTGGCGGCGGGTGGCTACGTGGCCATTGGCCGCGGAGGGTGGCGCTCTGATAACGACGGCAAGGTGTTGAAGGGGCGACGCCAATGAGGTGAAGTGGTTTTATGGCATGTAGTTTTAGGGGCGATGACAAAAAAAATTGAAAATAGGGAAGCTGCTGGAGTGTGTTTTTCTTTTTGTGCCACGTTTGAAATAAGGGAGCTACTAGAGATGCCCTAAACAGGGACCTACTGGATATGCCCTGGTTGAGGGAACGTTGGATTACCTGCATCGTAGCTAAAATATTCTTTGCCCTAAAAAAAGCTACAAACATTTCCTGCCTGTATAGCTCAATTGATTGAGAGTTGAGACCAAATACAGTTCATACAAGAGTACTTTTTTTTCTGTCTGAACCGTACTTGTACTCTAATCTAATGTGCCTCAAATTCTTTCGGTGCACTCCTATATACACACAGCAGCAGCATCTCATATTCTCAAAACAAATCCTCTCGATGCTTTAAGAAGAGAATATATCCTCGCTAAATTTGGACTATACATGCAATTATTTTATTAATTATTCATAAAGACCATACAAAGTAATACATCAGTAATTCTGAAGCCACCATCTAGGCAACACTTGTTACTACTCCTATCCCCTTAAGGTGTACCGATTGTCCGAGCCTAATACCAAACAGACATCGCACCAAAGCCTAATATCTAAAGCCGGATTCCCCAGCCCAGCCACATACCGGTACTGGGTCACACACGAGGCTGCCGCCGCCATCTTCCACCGGTCCATCTCCAGAGCAGGAACTGACGCATCGACCTTGCCTGGCCTGCCGTCGACGCCGCCACGGCGCCAGAAAATTTCACCACCCTGCACATATCCGTCCACACGCGTCCGTCGTCGAACCTCCGGAGCGCCATGCCGCCGTTATCCGCCGTCGGCCTTGCGGTGGATGTAACAATGCTCCTCCTCTTGTCGCCTCCAGCCAGCACTTGCTCCAAAACGATGCCCTCAGGAGGGACAACAACATCGAAGGTGCCATCATCGTCCGATCCTGTAGACCTAGATCTAGGGTTTCCCTCGGAGCATCACAAGTGGGGTGCCACGACCTGCAATAACGATGCCTCGAGAAGGGAATGCCGTCACAGACGCCGCCATCTTCCGCCATGACTGTAGTCGGCGCGATTTTCACCGGAAGTCGCGTCCCCCCGATCTCGCAGCTGGGTGGAGCCAAACGGAGCCTCGCCGTGGAGACGAGGGCCCCCGTTGGCACGCCGGAAGGGAACCTCCAACCACCCTCATCGATCTCCTCACGCCACCGGCCGGCCAAGGCCATACCGAGACAGATCTGGGCAGGACGCCAGATCCGTAGCCATCGATACCCCCCATCTGCATGCAGCTGCGACCCTTGCTGAATGGAGCACCGCCACCGCCACCACCCAATCTCAGGTCCCCGCCTGCCATGGAGATTTCGATCGCTGCCGCGCAGCAGGGGTGCCGCCCTAACTGCCGCCCCAAGCCTCCTCGCATGAAACGCCTCCTCCACCTCACAAGGGATGCCGTGACGCCCGCCTGCCCTGGATCAGCGCCGGGCGCGCCGCCACCACGGCCCTTGCTGGCAGCAACAGCGGCTGCAGATGGAACAAGGGGAGGCTGGCGGCTAGGGTTCGGGGCGCCCCTGACGTCGCCCGAGGGGAGGCGATGCGAGGGGTTGGGTTTAACTGCTACTAACTGCTAATTGGTCCTCGATGCTGGAGAGAATCCACTTGCAAAAGTAGTGCCTTCAAACATCAGCAGTCAGCAACATATCACAGGTTGTTCAGACTGATCCATCCGAATCGCTCTCAATTAGCAGTTCTCACAGAACTAAGAAGCCAGCAAGATTCTTGCTCAATGACTCCCTCACTCATTTGGAGACAAGCCACATATCTTTCATTCCGAGAGTTCAAGATCACCGTTGCATAGTAGCAGCATGCAAGGCTACCATTTCTCACAGCAAATAGCATAAAAAAAGTTCAGTCTGACACAACCTAAGCAACACATAATAAGCTGTTCAAACTTGTACAATCCAAATTACTCCCTGATTAACAAAACGTTCTGGCAGAAGAAAACTCTAAGATAACGTCCAATGATATAGATAAGCAGATAAGTTTCTTGTTGTACGTAGGAGCCCCTCGTTTGGAGATAAGCCACAAGTTTTCCACTCCCAGAGTTCAAGATCATCGTAGCAGCAGCATGCAAGACATGCTTCACTCTTAACATTTCTAGCGGCGGACGATGTAGACCATCATACTCAGCTGCTCCTCATTATCCATCAGCTTGAAGAGACAGATGTCCCCATCCCGCAGGTGGTTGTCGCGGGCAAAAGACGGCCATCCATGGTGAACGGTCATCTGATTGCTCGTGCCTCGCGTGCGATACTTATATTGCAGCTTGGTAGGCCATGATCTGCTCTTCCCCTCCCGCTGAAGCACCAAACTAATTCGACTATTCTCTTCACGATGAAGGTCAGCAGAAAACTTCTGAACAAGATATGTGGCCGCATACTGACAGCCAAAGTGCTGTTTATATACATAACACAAGGCAAATGTTAGAATGACACAGGCGCAGAGATTGGGAGATTTGTTGTTATTTATCTTATCAAAGGATAAAGATGCAATAACTGAGGAACTGACAGAAAGTAACAGAAAATATTTTCCTTGAACTTACTAGGCTGGGACAACGTTGGCTGCCACGCTGACAGACAGTGCTCTTGCTCATGATAGCAACATAAAAGGGCGGTTTGAACTTAATCCCCTCAACTTTCTCCAGACATTTCAAATTCTGTGCTGGTGTTAGAGAAGCTCCGTTTGACAGCATGAAGAGATGCTCAAAAGCTCCCTCGGAATCCTCAGAGACTTCATGCTCTTCATGTTCTGAAGAGTACTCTTCACCTGGACAAATTTTCACATAGATCAGATATCATGGGAACTGAAGTGTGAGTGTGACACATGCGTCCTAGCAGTGGCAATATTTCAGTACCATCCGTGGGTGGTTCATCCTTCACACCGCCCATCTTGGCACTTGTACTTCCGCGATTTGAGCCAATGCCAGTTGTTCCTCCTGGGGAATGGGCACTGCTCTCTTTGTGAAGGAGATGGGCTGTCACTATGAATCTTCTGTGCTTAACATTTGTCATTGGTTGAAAGAGACAGATATCACCCTCCCTAATATGAGTGTCATGCACAAATTCTGCTAAATAAAGGGTGCGCCGGCCTGCATTACACATGCCGGATGCCCTGATATGAAATTTGCACTTCCAATTCTTGTTCTTCCTAGGCAGCTGGAGTATGATAGTCGTATCTTCACATGGAAAGTATTTGAGTGCATAATCCTTCTGTATTACCTAATTAAAAAAAGGAACAGAATGTGATTGTGATACTGTAAGTTGGTTATATCTGATAGCAGAAGCACTAATGAGATAAGAAGTTAACACGGTCACAAAGGCTAAATTGTTCCAATCCAATACACATATATTGTGGCAAACATGTCCTTCAGACGTTTGAGTTAGAAACAAAATACTGACTTCCCTAAACAGTATTATAACAAGAAAATGTACGTAGCTACAGAATATTAGAAAAACGTATTTCAATAGAGGCAAAGAAAATAAATGACAATGTGGGAGAAACAGAACACAGATGGTAAAACTAACATACCAGAGTAGCCCCCTTGTTTGCACTGCTTTTCTTCATCTGTACAACAAGAACGGGGATTTCAGATCGAATTTTCTCTACAAGTGCATTTATTTTTTCCTCCTGTGCTACTGTAAGATCACATTTCCCTGATAATACATAATCCTTCGAGAGCATCTGAAGATCATCTAACTCCATAGCCTCATCTGCAGTAAAAAAATCGAGAGTAAGAGAACAAAGGGTAAGTGGGTAACTGATTTAACTTAAGAACAAACTTAACCTGGAAATTCCTTAGAAGTACTATAAGATACTGCAGGTGTATTTGCGGATTTATAACAACGGGACGAGCCTTCCATTGGGCATCCACCTGATTCCAATCCTTTGTCATCAATGCTCACTTTGTGAAGGATATGCACTTTCACTATGAATCTTCTGTGCTTAACACTTGTTATAGGTTGAAAGAGGCAGATATCACCTTCTCTAACATGATTGTCACAGGAAAAGTTGCGTAAATAGAGGTTGCGTTGACCTGGATAAGACACGCCGGATGGCCTGATGCGCAATGTGCATTTCCAGTCCTTGTTTTTCCCAGGCAGCTGGAGCATGACAGTTGTATCTTCACATGGAAAGTGCTCAAGTGCATAATCCTTCTGTATTATCTAATTGAAAAAAGGAATAGAATATGATTGTGATACTGTTAAGCTGAAGTAGTAAAGAGTTAAGAAGGTAAGAACCTCACAAAGGCAATGATAATGTTGATTTAGTAATGCATATGCATTTCGTTGCAAGCATATCGTTCAGTGTTTTGAGATAGAAGCAAAACACTGACTGACTTAAATAGTATCATAACAAGATAATGTGTGTGTGTGTGTGTGTAGGTATAGACAGCGAGCAATTTTGATACAAAATGCAGATGGTAAAACTTACGTACCAGAGTAGCATGCCGTTTTACGTTCGACTTCTTCATCTGTACAACTAGCACTGTAAATTTAGGTTTAATTTTCTCTATAAGCGCATCTATTTTCACCCTCTGTGCTTTTGTGGGATAGCACTGCGTTGATAAGACATAGTTATTTGAAAGTGTCTGTGGATTAGCTGACTCCACAGAATTGTCTACAGATAGAGTGTCTTCTGCTGTAAAAATGTTTCAACAGTAAGAAAACATGTGCTGGGTGGTAACTGAATAATCTGGGTACACAACTTAACCTGACAATTCCTCAGCAGAATGAGATCTTTCCTTCTGGCTTTCATCTGAATCACATGGATTACTCATCTTGGATATGCACTGTAAAACGAATCATATATTATATCAGTTGGAATTATTCAAAGGTGTTTTAATAACTAATTTGATACCCTGAAATCATTCAAGATCAGTATGATGCCCTTTTTCAAATGCAAAAGCAGAGCTCATGCTGGATCAGTATGATGCCCTAAGACCTTTAGTTTGTAAGTCCTAACCCATTTTCCAATAGACTTGGTTAAACTTGAGAAAATTTGACTTACAAGAAACCTAGAACTTCAATTAATTTGCAACAGATAGAGTAATTGAAAATTATGCGACAGATAGAGTATATGTTGGATGTCTGCAAGTGACAGTTATGCAACTGGCAATTATGTGCTCCCTGGATATATGCAAAGTTGACTTTCAGGCATCTACATAAGCACTGCTATATGATTCCTAATACATTCATTAGATGTTTGTAATTTTTTACTATATAATTCAGGGATCTAATATCTACACTATGCATCCGAGCTTGATTTTGACCGCATATATACACTTCCAACATTTCATCCTTGAGTTCGGCAGCAGCATGAATTGGACAGTGCACAACTTGCTAGAGATAAAGACTTTAGAGAATTGGGTTACCTGCTCTCCGTCGTCTTCCTTTGCTCCTGTCTGCGATAGCGCTTCCCCTTCCCCCTCTGCTCCCTGCTGTGCCAGAGATTGAACCATGTACATGATGAAAAAAAATGCAAATTTGTCAGAGTAATAGTCTTTACATGTGGGAAACTAGGCAAAGGATTCGAAAATAATTGAAGTAATTGAAAATGGTATATAATCAAGAATGCAAAAGAAAGGGAGGCAAGAAAGTCCATGTAAAACTAAAGTGGGATCAAAGGTGGGAAACTCTGTCTATAGAGGAAAAAGAACTGTCATGAATATGGCATAGAAAGAGAGCAAATCAACACTACAGTATTGAAGAAGAAAAGACGCACGACTAAATTTCAAGCAAAGAGTGGAACATGGCAGAAGAAGCTTACCAAGGGGTTGCCACAATCGCTGCTACTTCCACTGCCTGGTGAAATGCAAAAAATTGTTCGTTAACTTGTTCTTAGAAGCTTCAACTACCGTATTGAGAGGAAGGCAGAGACGAGCCGCATACTGGCATCATTGTCTTGGTGGTAGTGCCTGCGGCACATGCTACCGTCGAACACCTTCACGGTGAGCACAGCATGGCCATCGTAGCTTAAGACGAGGAAGTGTCCGAGCCGCATGTCATGAGCACGCGCAAACTGCTCCCATCCGTTCCCCAGGTACATGTGTCCGTCGGTGTCGGACACTACTTCCACGTCCCACAAGCGACGTCGGCACCCGGCCTCCCGCAGCTTCACTTCCCGAGGCTCACGGCCATCGAGTAACTTGGTGAACTTGTCTGGCAGCCTCTGCAGTGAGAATTAAGCAACGCTTGAAAGCGAATCGTTGAACCAACCAAACAGACCAATGACCAAAGATCAAAGCGTAGAAACAACACGTAGATGAAGCAGAAACTGAGAGATTGTGGCATACCAGTTTCTTCAAGAAATTTGGGAGTAGGATCATGAAGAACTCGAGTTCTTCCATCGCCCGGTGGGAGTAGGATCAAATGTAGCAGGAACGCAGAATGTCCTTCCAAAGCTTCTCTTATGACAGGAGCTTCGACTGAAAGGTAAACAGACAGGCCGAGGCTAATCATTTTTGAAGGGAGTAACTCTTACGGTCTTACATGTGTGTTGATTTTTTCCAATATAACTTTTCTTTTCTCCATAAAGCATCTTCATGTTGCAAGACATTAACATCATCTAGACCCTTCTTGTATTAATATAATAACGGTTTACTCCAAACGGCATTTGAATAATACATGAGAACTCTAGAGGGGTTCAAATGGGATACAAGGGAAGTCCAGAGAGTACACATGGACCCCTCTTGTTTTCCCAGTGACGGAATACAAGAGAGATTTACATAGTGTTGTGGTAATTCTAGTATACATTCCCTAATAACACACAATCTTTTAAAACTACCATTTTCAAGGTGGGTTGGGCATTGAAAACCTCGAAATCAGAAATTAAGTGCCTAGTCAGCAAATGACTATAAGTTGCTTAATGAGGAAGGTGTTTGGCAAGAGTTGTTGCTTAGCAAATACCTATATTCGAAAAGGATATCCCAAGTAGACGCAAAAACCAACTTATTCGCCGTATTGGAAGTGCTTGATGAAGGTCAAGTCTTCCTTTTTAATAGAGGTTCCAAAAAGTTGGTGATTGTAGCAATCGACGAGTTTTTGGGAAGATACCTGATTGGGTGACACTCCATTAGCTCTAAAACACCCGACTCTTTATAATATTGCACTCGGAAAGGAGGCATCGATGACCATTGTTCTTGGGGCTATCCCATTGAATATTCAAATCCGTAGGCTGATTCCGATTTAGTTTACGTTGATGCCGATTAATCTAACTCAATGCCACATATGTCCAAATGAAGATTTTGAAGTCTATGTTTGCGGATCTCATGAATACTAAGCCTATTTTTCGCGGGAAGCATATCTGAAAACAAAAATCCCTTCCAAAATTAAAATTTTCCACGTGGTTCTTGCTAAGGGGTAGTTCTTACCAAAGATAATCTTGCAAAAGTCAATAGACAAGGTAGCAAAATATGTAGTTTTTTTTATCAAGAGGAAACAATAGTCATTTATGCCTGTCATGCCGATAACTATGAAGAATTTGGCACACAATTCACGTTACTTAGAATTTATCCTCACTAACAAGTATACCAAATTTATCCCCATCCTGTCTATAGCGGGATTACACAATTCACGTGGATGAGCTATGTAATCCCGTTATAGACCGGATGTGGTCTTGTTTTTTAATTTTTTACGCGGTGACTTGGACTTGTTTCATGTTTAATAAATTGGCATTGTGCATTGCTTGATGCAAAGGCTGGGGTCTCGCCGTTTCACAAAAAGAAAAAGAAAAGTCAGCTGCCATTATTCAAAGTTGTTTGCGTAACTAAAGTTGGTTGAATTTTCTCATATACCCATATAATCGTACAACTGACTTTAGTTTGACAATGATCTTGTGCCCTCCTTTTGTTTGCTTTTTTTCCCCATATGACCAACCTTTTGCCGGTTCAACTATCATCAAGATAACAGAACAAATAAATATACTCCCTCCATTTCAAAATAAGTGTCGTGGGTTTAGTTGGTTCAAATTTGAACTAAAACCACAATATTATTTTGGAATGGAGGGAGTATAAATCATCTAGTGCAAAAGCAGTAAAATATACAAGCATAAGAAGAGACCAAGTGGCGCCTAATGCTAGCACATCTAATGCAAGTAAGAGGTTCTGAAAGCGACAGAGCAGCAAAAGCTAGTTACCAAATATAGCACCCAGGTGCCAGAACTGGACACCAAAACGGAGCATCAACTTTTCCATCAGCATCAAAGTTTGATTACATCCCATTTTGAGTTACTTCAAATCGTTTTCGAATTTTATGCCTAATTCTCCCATATGAAAAGATTGTATTGCCTCTACGGAAACATTTGCAATTTTTCCAAACTATCTAGTACAGACTGTTTGTCTCTGTTCCTGTCGCACAGCAGAGAGCTTCATTAGTGAGCACAGGCACAGGTGACCTATTTTCCTTCCAATCTCCATTTCATTCTCAATTTGGATCCCTAGCTAGCTTCCCCTTGCTGTTCCTGTGTAGGGAAAGCGTGTGGCAGTGAAGAATATTTTGGTTCGTGCGGTGCTTGTGTTGCGCGCTCCGTGCTGGAACTGAATTTGAAGTGTAGCCATGGCCCATGGGTGCTAGAACTGAATGTCTGGTACTTGGACAGAATGTTGTGATAAGAAAATAGAAGTGGAGTTGCTGCTGAAGCAGAGAATTTCTGTGTAATGAATCGTGAATTCGTGATCAGATTGTGGTTCGCAAAGGAACATATGCTGGATGTATGTATTAGCAGTGTTTATCCACAATCCATTGGCGATTTTGCAGTTTAACACCTTTTATACACCCTTTCCTTGACTTTTCATTGTTTCTTCAGAGGACCCTTCCATATTTGCCTTTCCATGTGCACCAGTGAGGAATGTGAACAGTAATGGATTCGATGTGAACAGTAATCCGAGATCTACTACTACTTTAGCTAAACAGAGAAGCACATAATGTCCACAGCCATAATCCACATGTAGAAAAGAAATCATGGTCCAAACTTCCGACTGATTACTTGAGCATGAGATCCAGGATATGAGTAGAACATCTGAACATGTATGAGAAATCTTGCTCGCATTGGAGAAAAATAGCACAGGACAAACCTAATCCCACCGTCGGCTGGACAGGCTGATTAAAGACTTGCCTCTCAAGCGGAGTCCCGGCGGCCGACGCCGTCGAGGCAGAGACCTGGTGAGCGGTGTCCGCCGACGGGGTCGAGGCAGAGACCCAGTGGGCGACTGGGCGGTGTCCTCGAACTGGAGCTCAGCCTCAGAGACAACCCGGCGGAGAAAATCTCAAATCTCTAGTCGTGCATACCGATATACCCCCAAAAATATCTAAAGCCTGCGGTGACTCACTACATAAGGCAAAGTGTTGATTCACTAGATAAAGGCAAAGTATTTTTGTAATTTTTTTTGCGAATGGGATAAAGATAAAGTAGCTTCGGGCATCTTCAAGGCAGGCCGCAAACCCCTCATATACGTCTGGACCGTACTGTCCAAACCGCGGAAGTCATTTAACCCGGTTCCATGGCGCGATCCGGACATGTTCTCTCCCGCAAACAGAAGACAAACGTGGGGAGCTTTGCGGGAGTCGGGACACCAGACACATAGGACTCCGACACCTCGGCCCACCCAAAACCATTCCCGGACACTAGACACGTAGGACTCCGACACCTCGGGCCACGCATTTTCTCCCCTTTCTTCTTTCTCTCTTGCCTTCGCCGCTGCTTGACCACCCCGGCTGGCACGCCACACCCCTGCCGAAACTCTAGGTCTCCCTTACGTCCAACCAGGCTCGACCCTGCTTCTCCTCCATCGTCGTTCAACCAATTTCCTTCGACCGCCCCGGCAGGTACCATCCGCTACTACTATGCTCACCATGCCTGGCAACTGTTCGATGAATTGCCGGAGCTAAAAACAGTTTTTCCCTTCTTTATAACAATGGATTCTGATTTGAAGTACATATACGAGCACTATGCTGAGTCGTCCGACAAGGAGTACTCAGATGAGACAGTGATGATGCAGGCAGTCCTTGAAGACGCGGAGTGTGCGGAGGAGCATGTTCTATTTTAAGGGATCGATAAGGGGTCATCGAGTGCTCAACTGCAACAAGGCGCGCGGCCATTTGACACTGATGGCCGATTAATTTGCCCCCGATGCACTCTTTGCAGACCATTTTTGCCGGCGTTTTCGGATGTGCAAGACTATTTTCGACTGTTTGTACCATGGCGCCCGGTCCTATAATGACTACTTCATCCTGAAAATAGACGCCGTGTGAAAGATTGGATTCTCTGGTTAGCAGAAGTGCACGGCTGCACTCCAGATGCTTGCATATGGCATGGCCGCTAATTTGTGGGATTACTACCTACGAATGTCTGAAAGCACATGCGAAGATGCCTTGGTCAAGTTTGTAACTTCCGTGGTCGAGGTGTTTGGACCTCAGTGTGGCAGACACTGAGAGGCTCTTTGCAATCTCAGAAGCAAGGGGGTGGCCAGGTTTACTTGGATCCCTTGACTGCATGCATTAAAAATGGAAAAATTGCCTGAAGGCTTTACAAGGGCAATATCAGGGTCATGTTAAGAAGCCCAGCATCATTTTTGAAGCAGTTGCATCACTGGATCTTTGGATTTGGCATGCTGTTTTGATATGCTCGGGTCTCACAATGACTTCACTGTGTTACAGCAATCACCTTTCTTTGCGAGGCTGACTGAAGGAAAAGCTCCTCCTTGTCACGAATGGGGTTACTATGTGGTTGACTGTATCTATCTTCCGTCGGCTACTTTTGTTAGCACCACTAATCCAGTTGGCCAGACAAAGTTTCACTTTGCGCAAAGACAAGAAGCAGCTAGAAAGGATGTTAAAAGGGCATTTGGAGTTCTACAGGAATTTTTGCAGTTGTTCATGGACCTGCTAAACTATAGGTTCCGAACATCTTGGTGGAGGTGATGCCTTGTTGTGTGATCATGCACACCATGATCGTTGAGGATAAGGGTGACGATGCTGCCCCAACTCTAGAATTTAAGAATATGGGTGATCCTATCCAACTTCCAGATCAGAATCCGTTCACATTTGAAGAGTTTATTCAAATGCATCAGCAAATTCAGAATCGACCAAGTCACAAGCAGCTGAAGAAAAATCTGATTGACCATCAGTGTGCGGTTAAAGGGGACAAATATATTGGAATGTAACATTTAAATTTGAACTACTGTTGCACGTCACTATTTGTACGTCAGTACCCTATGCATGCGACCATTTGAACGTCTCAATTCTATGTATGCGGCTATTTGAATGCGTGGGCTTTCAAAAATAATGAGATCGGATATATGCGGCTATGGTTGGATGGTAGCCTCCCGCATCCGTGTCCGCGGATTGGTCC